AAAAAATAATTTAAAAAAAAAAAAGCTGAACAGCCACTGGAGGGCACCCAACCACACAACACCTCAGGATATGGTTTGTGCTTAATTGCTAACCAAAATTTGGCTGGTGCTTCAAGCCCATCCTGTGAAATCTTGTAAGAAAGCTGTAATGATCTGCTTCTACAGATATTACAGACAACAAAACATTATGGAGCTCAAGTCTATTCTCTAACATGGAATCACAGTCAGTCGTAACCAACTTGATCAAGGCAACAAGTCTTAGCACTCGGAGAATAGAAAACTTGAAGAAAGGAGACACCAAATCCCACTCCCCATCTGACACAAATCTGGTCATTATTCCCTACGAGAGGCTACATTTGGACATGTGTTATATGCTGGAGAAGAACATCTTTTTTGAGAGGGTGGAGGAACAGCATAGGAGAGGAAGACCCTCAATGACATGGATCAATTCAGTGACCAGGTTAATGGGATTAAGTGTGTCAGGGACAGTGAGGCTAGCACAGTATAGAGCAGGGTTTAGGGAGCTTATACATAGGGTCACTATGAGTTGCAGGTGACTCAACTGCACATAAAAACAACACAACAACATCTGTTTATGAGTTTTATTTCCCCAGAGAATATAAATTCCACCAGAACAGTGGCAGTGGTATTCAGCGCTATAACCATAAACAGTGCTCAGCATATTTTAGATATTTAAATAATATTTACTGAATAAATTAACTGTATCCAACTGAATTACCTTTCTATAAGCAAGCTGATCAAAAGACTCTGCTACATATTAGGTTCTTTGTCTCAGAAAAACACAGTAAACCTGTTTAGGAACCCAAAAGTACCTGAGTCTCAGAAACTCCTCTGAGCACCAATACTTGGGACTTCAGGCACATATCACTAAAAAATTGGGCAGTGACTCTAAGGGACTCTCAAAATTGGGTTTTTTTAATTATTATTATTACTATGAAATTTGTTTCCTCAAGTTTTGAGAAGACAGAAAATCACCTAAGTGTACTAGAAGAGACAGCTAGTAGTCATGAGGACTGGGTCTATTCCTCGGGTCTAAAACGTGAGTTACTTTAGAGTCAGTATAT